GAAAAATCTAAATTCCGCAGATTTCTGCGCTACGGGCTACAACTACAGAAAAATTCTGCGGTGTTGAGTTTTCATTTACATGGCGCTTTGGTAAGACAGATCGTGTCAGCTGACTCGGGTTTACGTACCGGTAGGTTTACGTTCTTGACTAATTTCAGCTTAAGTAAACGACGAAAATCGTCGAAAAATTTGCAGTGCTGCCAAGTTTTTCCGTATTAATACACTAGTCGAGTGGAAATTTTAGGAAATAACGTGAAATTTTCGATACGATTCGACTCTCAAAAAACGACTTGTGTTCGGCACGACTCTCGCAATGAGTCTGATCAATTTCTAAGGTCGGTGTTATGCAGAAATTTTGTTTGGCAAACTGCGTGCAATTGTTGTTGCAGCAAACTCGGAGAGAGCGAGTTTGGCGACTCTCACAGCAAACTAATTTTGTTTGGTCAAACTGCAGCAAATTCGGTGTTGTCATATACAAAAATTTTAAATTTTGCGCGTTGTGTACATCTGAAATTCTCATTTCGTGTTGGCAATAGCCATGAAAACCATAATGAACGTGCAACCCTGTGTCAAACTCGACATAACCACCTCCGAGCAAACTAAGCAGCCGCCATTTAATTTGGCAAACAAAAGTTCGTCTGCATAACACCGACCTAAAAATACAGGAATAAGTAAATCCATATATGAAAACTGTGTGCAATAGGCTCTGGAAGAGCAATGAGATGGACAAATTGCAAAGCCAATGCATATTAAGTCCTCTTCAGACACGTCAGTTCTTGAAGGCAATTTTTTTCGCATTCTCTTTTGAAGATCAAAAGAGACAAGAAAACTTGAAACGAATTGACGGTACGGAGGTATCTGTACTCTTCTCCTCTCTTCTCACCACCTTCGCCTACGAACGAGCAGACTTGAAAGCAAGACTTGACGTGTCTGAAAGGGGACTAATGTGCCTTGTGCAAAGCAATAAAAAATTGCTGGTTACCAAATGCAACCCTGCGCTAGTAGTGGTAATTGTGACAGCGGCTTGCCAAAATGAAAAGGGATAGTGTAATTTGATTTCCCCCGGAAGCGAAATTTTGTGAATATGTCCGATTTCGTTGAAACAAATTAAAGTGTAAGTGTAATGCATATTTATCAAAGAGATATGTACATTTCCGCAATTAACCGAGAATGAGACTGACGACTGATTTAACCTTGCGTGCATCTAATTACGTTCGCCTTCAACAAGTGGGCTTTATACGAACTCCGGGACGGTATTTCTAAGCCAGTGCATGTCTTTTTCTATTTCTGCAGTGAGTTCTTCAAACATAGCGTGTTTTTATTTATTTTGACGTAGAATACTTGTCTGTGCTACATGTGAAGTATGACATATCGTCGCATTGTGGGTAGACGGGTGAAAATTTTCAATTTTTCTGCTCGTTGTTGCGACAGTTATGAATGTTTAAGCTATCCACACACCTACGCGATTCTGTCGGTGCGAATCTTTTCCGATAAAATTTACAACAATGCCGACCATAGTTTTAAATGAAGAACGCCACTTTTATGCGATTTTGCTGCAACGATTTATTCGAGCATTCACAGTTCTTCTTTTGGTTGTGCCGAAATCGCAGACTCCGCGTTTTGAGAACGAAAAAGGTCAATAGAAGGATTTTACAATATTAAAACAAAATTGAACGTAAGAAAACAAAACATATTTGATGTAGAAAAGTTAAGAATTTTATTTCTTTTTTAAAAAATATTTTTTTTGTCTATAAATTGACAGCTTTTATTTTTTTTTTTTGGGTTCTTGAGTTTGTTGGCGGGACCAGGTCCCTAGAAAGCCAGGTTTTCCTTCCAATTTCGTGTTTTCCTCTGGATTACTACACGACCATGTAGTAATATTTTATTGGGACGACGAAGGTCCTGAATGAGCGAAGTAGCCTGGAAGGCTGTGATGTACACATTAGCGTGTGTAACAAATGTAGCCNATAACAAATGTAGCCGGCAGTATATAGTTCTTGTGTTATCATCAGCTTTTAATTGAATTATTTAATTTTGTTTTATATTATTGTTGTTTTTATTTATTTATTTATTTATTTTTTTTTTTTTTTTTTTTCGGTACA